TGCTAGGAGGCCTGGTCTGCAAAAGGAGGGGTGGGAGATGGGGCAGAACTTTCCCTGCCTTAACTGTGGCAGTACTTAGCACTTAAAATACCCTCAGGAGGTATCCCCTTTAATAACTTTTTATTTAACAACAGAGCTGCGGGAAGATAGATCTGCACAGGAACTGTAAAACGAACCATTTTTTTCTGGTGCCTTACTGATTGTCACTGATGTTAAGAGCAGAATGATTATTTAATAAAGTCTGTCAGCAAGAACAGGTCATGCTAGAAGGGGGGCAGGGGCTGTGTGCCCCTGAGGAACATGCCAAGAGCAGGTAATTACTATAGAAATTATAACTGTGGGTGAGTAAAGAATGAATTGTATTTTTTCCTATTTTTATTATCAGATATACTATGGTACAAAATAACTCTAGCCACCAAGTTTCTTTTGGAAGGCTGGTTCCTTTTTTTTTTTCTTCCCTTTCATAAAAACACTTTCTAATTAATTTGCCAGTTAGTAACTTCCTAAATCTGCCAGAATCTATTCTGGAAACTGGTTGCAAGTTTCAGACCTAAACAAGATCTTTCTAATACATATCACTAGAAATTTGGGGAAGTGTCCCTTTGGATGAAACAGAACAATAACATTTATTAGATTTAAAAGTTACCCACTGAAAAGTACCTGAAAGTTACCCACTAAAAAGTGGTTGAAAGTACCTGAGAGAAGCGAACATTTCATCGATACTTTGAAGGAGGATATTTTAATATCTACTATCAGAAAATGGAGGTACAATACCCAATGAAATAACCATCAGAAATAACAGATTTCTGCTCTGAAAATAAGACACTCGAGATAATGAACTTTGAAGATAATAAGAAAATTAGAAGTAACTAAAGGAGATAATTTGGTGTTTTTTAAAGTTAGCATTGTGGATGCTGCTTCTATTAGACAATATAACTGCTAATCAGTGAAATGAATGGACTGTGCTAATCTTAACAAACATAAGACTCCTAACCATCGTATTTCTGTACCACTTAACAACTGTGCATTATATCTGAATCACAACTTTATGAATAAAGTTTTGGATTTCAACATGGAAAATAATTTCAAAGATATTCATCAGTTATGGAAAGCTTATTTCACAACTAAAGAAATACTTATACCTACAGGCCTCTATCATTCAGAATTCCAAAAGCCTTTCTATCTACAGTGTACATACAGTAAGTACAAATTCAGATTTGTGAATCTGAAAAGAATTCACAAATATTCTTGAGAAATAAGGCTGCTCAATTAACTTCTGAAATCACAATAGATGGGTTTAATAAAATTAAAAATATCCTTCATCATCTAATCTACTGAATTTTCAAAACAAGGAGAAAGTTCAGTTTTCTGATTGGCTTCATTAGTGCCTCTGTGACTAGTAAAAAGACAGGAACACAGTTATTGCATTCCCAACAGTTAAGCATTGCCATCAGGCTTCAATAAATTTCTTAGCCAAAACATACCCAGTAGTGATTTGATCAATTTGTTGGATGATTTTTTATCCCATTTCTTTTAAAATATCCAACAATCTAAATTCCCCTTTTCTAAAGCTGACCAATTCTGGGACAGTATCTTCAAAATTCACAGATTCTTTAAGTTATGGACCAGCTGTGGATAACTAATGAATGAAACGATATCTCTGGATACACTGATGGGCCACTGTCCAGACACCGAACCAATCCTCTTCTGAAACAATTAGAGAGAGATTATAGAGTCAGAAGTATATAGCGTTCTAAATCTAAACTAGAAACTTACACAATATGACACTTCATCACATTTGATTTGAACAGAAATTAAGGAGGTTTGTTTTCATTGAGATCTGTAAGTTCTACCACCATTATGAGAGGATGAAGAAGGATTGGGAAGACATACATCTCCAAAGTATTTTGCTTACTGTATGTACATTTTTTGCAAATAAGAGATAATCACATAGTTAAATGAAGACTAGAACATTAAACAAAAATCTTAAAATTTTCATTAATATGCATTAAGCGCTCTATAAATACTGGAATA